TGTCCTCCACGTTCTTTCCTTTTAGTCACCACTTAGACTAAGGGTCAGATTAGGTAGGTAATACAATCCCACTCAGCCACCTCCATTAAACTAGAAAAATGGAGAGGAGATTAATCAAAATAGGATAACCAATTAGCCATGAGTGCTCTCCCAACTATCCAGCAGGTAGTCAACCCTCTTTTACCTCAGAAGTGATCCATTAAGCACCTGCAAACTTGTGGAAAGCGATAGCCATTGAAAAGACAGTTGAAAATACGTAAGCAAAACATCACAGCACGACTGGAGCGACCGGTCGTCAGGAATGGGCGACCGGTCGCCAGAAGTTTTCCCTCCAGACTTTGAATCTGCTTCTAAGCGACCGGTCGCAAATGTCAACTGGCGACCGGTCGCTCCTTGGTTTAGCTCCAGACCTCGAATCTGCTTCAAAACGACCGGTCGCAAATGCCCAGCGACCGGTCGCTTTTAGGCAGTTTCAAATTCTTCCTTTGAGCGCCAAAACCTTTGTATCCTTTAGGTGAGCCATTTTTTCCAACAAAACTTACAGACCCGACTATGTGAGCCAGGTCAACATTGGAGCCAACATGCCGGTGATGGGAGGGGATAGAGATTTTGAAACTTCCAGCCTTTTCGCCACGGATTGCGCCATTGCAAGGTTTAATGGTGGCAGTGTTGGCTCTGGAAGTGAAGCTAATTCTTTGGAGGGTTTGGAGTTGCCAAGCTTGAGCTGTGCAAGTGGAATGGATGGTCAAGGTGTTGTGTGCAAGAGATAGACAATCATTTTGTCTTGTCTCAAGGGGAAATAGAGTTCATGGAAACAAATAACAAGCACTCATGACAGACTCCAATTTAATGTGTCAATTTGAATTTATTTCTGAATAATTAATATTTAAACTGTATTCTTCCCACTATTTGGCAATTGTAGAAACCTGTTGCATCAATAATCTAGCGAAGATCCGAGGATTTTTATGTTTTGGTTTAAATGATATAAAACCAAGAATTGTTATGTCTTCTAATTTGAATTTTAATCTTGATGGATGGCTATGATTCAACCTCATGAAGTTAATTACACCGTTGATTTATTATCCCATTAATAATTGAATGGGCTTTCCAACATCACCATATTCTCTTTCTTTTTTTTCTTTTCCAACTTGTAAGAGTAGTTTATTTTCTCCTGTTTATATGTAATCAAAGGTGCCAAGGGCTGATTGGCTCATATTGGACTTCGAAAAAATTTATTCTAAAAATTGTATGCATTCGCATGGGCCTTGTAGCTCAACTGATTAAGAACATTTATCCCTACATCCTTGATCAACTCCCCCTCCTCTCCCTCAATATCAATTACATAAAAAAGGAAAAAATTGTATGCATCCATTTCTTATAAGGGTTAATGCATTGCCTGCCGAATGTGATGAATAATTTCCCCTCCCACTATGAATTAATCACCCACAACTCCCTTTTTTTTTGGGTCAAAACCCACAACTCCTTCTAACTGAAGATTTTTATGCTATGCATGTTGTATACGCAACACAAGTTACAACAACTAAACCACTGCTACAAGTAATCCCTTGGTTCCAATTGTAATTTCTGACATCCGTGGTAGCTTGTTTTTGAAGCAACTGTGTCAATCGTATATTTTGCTTGTTTTGTATTGGGTCAATCAAATTAGTAGAGGGTTCTGATTGCAGCTGCACTTCTGACCCAGCTACATGTATTTCACATGCCTAGTGTCAAGTAATGAAAAATGGCCAATTTCTATAGTAGGGAGAGCTTACTGAAATTTGTACCAGGTCTTGTCTTTCCAAATCGTGATGCGTTCTTGCTGATTTGGATGTTGTTGGCTCTGTTTGTCACTTTTCCAGTTGGCTTAATGAAACAAGAGAATCCTTGCTCTGTTTGTCTTTCTCATTTATCTTTTTGTTTTTGTCCAAATGGAGGTTGGAATGGTGCACAAATAAATCTTTTTGTTTCTCTCTCCTGCTATTCTTGCCATGAGATGACCGATTGCAAAGGTGACTTAGCTTATTTTTTAGAACCTGTTAGTTAATAGCCAATGCCATAGATTCAAAGCCACCTAACGGTCTCAAATTCAGTGTATATGTTTGTATTGATATATAAACAGAAAGAGCTTCTTCTCTTTAAAATCTCCAAAACCAAACAACTGTCGTTACTACAACTGAAGAACTAGTTCAAGCTGTTCCTCACAGCTCCTCAGTTGGAAACTGATGAAACTAAACACAATGTTTGTTCAATCTCTAATCTTCAATCTTCATCTTTATCTTCATCAAAAGACAAACATCTCTCAATCAAGCTTTTGAGTTAATTCAGCCATGGCTTCTCACTCTTCATGACAGTCCAACATTTTCAGCTCCCATACCCCACTTCCATTCTAGATGACACTTCTAAAACCATCAGAATGGTAAGCACCTCTCTCTCTCTCTCTCTCTCTCTCTCTCTCTCTATATATATATATATATATATATATATATATATATATTATGCTAAGAATGTTTTCTGATTATTGAGATATTCAGTTCTTTTGTTATTTTCATTGAAGCTTTAACATGTTCTGTTCTGCAGAAAATTCCAATGAAGTTTGTGATGAAACATGGAGAGCATTTATCAAGTCCAGTACATCTTAAGCTTCCAAGTGGTGTAGAATGGGAAATAGAATTCAGAAGATGCAATAACGATGGGGTTTGGTTTAAGACAAGGGTTCCACAGAGTTCTCCAAGTTTTGCACACTTGGCTAAGCTAATTGGCTAGTCTTTGGATATGAAGGGAGCTCAAAATTCCATGTTTATATATTTGATAGAAGTGCTACAGAGGTAGAATAACAAAGCCTGAGATAGAAGAAACTGATTATGAAGAAGAAGATGATGATAACTCTGTTAAAATCTTGGATGGTTTTTGACCCTGCCCAAGAAAAGCAAGGGAGAAATCTCCATTGCCATGTCCTCAGCCGCACAAAAAAATGAGAAGATGTGGTAAAGCAGAATATGCAACATCAACTTTAGACCAACAAGGACTCAAACTTCTGAAATGATGTTTGAGAACTCACTGAGAAACAAGGCCTCAGATTGCTCCAAATCAGAAATGAAAAGTAAGGAATATATGCATTTTTTCTTCTTCTCTGGTTTCTTACCTTATTGTGTTTTGTCTCATTATGTTATAGTTTGCAATAATTCCTATTAAAATCTTGAGCAGGGGAAGATGAATCAGATGATGATTGTGTTGAAACTTTGGACAAGTTTCCCCCCCCTGCCCAAAATCAGGGGACCAATCTCCATTAGCACCACCAGATGCCAAAGATGGTGTTGGGAGGATGCATACATCAACTACACAAGTGGAAAAGCTATAGCTCTTCAAAGAGCTATTGCTTTTGAATCTGCAAGCCCTTCTTTCACTATTGTAATGCATCCATCGTACCTCCACAAAGGTCTTTTGGTAAGCTTTCTATAAAAATATTTCAACCGTTTGATATTCTAATTTAAGGCCGTAGCGTGAAAAGTATTAAGCAAAATCATAAATCGATGTTTTCTCTTCAAATCTGTTCTTATTATCTTAATATCCTGCTTTCCTTTTTTTTTTTAAAGACTGCCAGTAGGGTTTGGTAAGAGACATCTTATGAAGCAGCCTGCTGGTAATGTCATCCTTAAGCTGTTGGACGGAGGAACTTGGTCTTTTAAGTTCACATATTCAAAACCGAAGGCTCAATTCCAGCAAGGTTGGAGGGCATTTGTCAGGGGCAATAATTCGAGTGACGATTATGGTCTTTTCATTTCTGATTTGGAGCAATCTGAAGCCTTGGTTCTCAGTGAGTTCTCAAACATCATTTCAGAAGTTTGACTCCTTGTTGGTGTAAAGTTGATGTTCCATTCTGCTTTACCACAAGGTCTCATTTTCTTGTGCGGCTGAGGACATGGCAATGGAGATTTCTCCCTTGCTTTTCTTGGGCAGGGTTAAAAACCACCCAAGATTCAATAGACTTATCATCATCTTCTTCTTCATAATCAATTTCTTCAATATCTGGCTTTGTTATGGGATATTCTACCTCTGTACGTAGCACTTCTATCAAATAGAAAAAACATGGAATTTTGAGTTCCCTTCATATCCAAATACTAGCCAATTAGCCAAGTCAAGAGAGCAAAACTTTGGCCAACCCTTGTCTTAAACCAATTGCATCTTCTGAGTTTATTTTCCATTCCGCACCACTTGGAAGCTTAAGATGTATTGGACTTGATAAATGCTCTCCATATTTCATCACAAATTTCTTTGGAAATTTTTGTAGAAGTTCCGATGTTTAGAAGTGTCATCTAGAGTGGTCCTGAAATGAAGAAATGAGGTATGGGAGCTGAAAATGATGAACTGTCATGAAGAGTGAGAGAAACCATGGCTGAATTAACTCAAAAGCTTGATTGAGAGAGATTAAATCCCAAGTTGTAATGCCAAGTTATAGCTCTGTCCAAATATGTTATTTGAGAACAGATTGAGTTTTATTTTATATATTTACCAAAATGAGAAGTGAGATCCTTTCTTTTTCCTTGTTTGGCAGATGATGAGTGGTAAAAACTGAAGCCTTTTCTTTTGCTAGTTAAAATGCAACATATGCACTCATTTTTTCAATTGAACACAATCGAGAAAAACTTGTGCACCACTTACACAGAGGAAAGATCTCCAAAAACACCACTGGCTCAAAAGAAAAAGAGAACAAGTTCAAGTCCTAAAGCCGGAATTCTAAAACGACTTCCCTTTTGAACAAGTCGACTCCTTTGCTCATTATAATAATAATAAAAAAAAACAAACAATAAGAAAATCTGTTGTGATTAAGTTAGTCAACCTGATGGTAATAGTCAAAGTGATCAAGAGCACACCAGAGGAGAATGAAATTAAATATACACAACCCTCATCTCAGCACTCTTCTTCTAGAGGAAGTAAACCTCCTCACCATCAATATATTTTCATCTTTCAAACTTTGACCTTCTCCTTTACAAACTCTCTGCTTTTCAAAATTGGTACCTCTGCTACTCTGCTTATCGTCTGCTCCCTTCTCCAACACAACACGTCCTGCCTTCATCTCTCTTCTCGTAAGTCCAGTCTACTCTCTCTTTCGATCATTTTAGATGTATGTTATTATTTCTTTGATTGCTTATTAGTGTTCTCAAACACCGGTTTTGTTCGATCTCTAATTTACTCATCAGTTTTTAAATAAATAAAAATTGTTTTGGTGAATCAGATTATTTCGTTTTTCTTGAAATTAGGCTTTAGCTCGAATTAAACTGGTAACATCATTCCCATGAGATAATTTACCCCACTGCTATTGAAGACAGCTTTTTCTTCTTGGTCTGAAAATAAGACCTGGACCATAACTCATAGGAGAAATAGTTATTTGACACTAACACCCTGTGCGTTTTAGGTTTTGCACAAAACCTCTAAGGTTTCAGAAAATACACCAATACTTATGTGGTTATTGGGGTTTTTCACAAAACCTCTAAGGTTTCGGAAATTATACTAAACACCCCCGAAGGTTTTAAAATGTTTTCACAAAACCCCTTTTCATTGATTGTTGTTGATTATTCAAATTGATGATTTCATTATAAAAAAAAAACTTATGCAAATGACAAAGTTAGCCTAAATTAATGTATGTACAATCTAATCTCAAAAGCTAAATTTTTCATTAGGAGAATTATTATTATTATCATATAAAATTATCAATTTTTGAAAAAAAAAAGAAGAAGGGGTTTTTGTGAAAACAATTTAAAACCTCAAGGGGTGTTCGTGTAATTTTTGAAACCTCAGGGAGGTTTCGTGAAAACACCAAAAATCTCAAGGAGTTTTATGAAAATATTGAAAAGCTTAAGGGGTGTTAGTGTAAATAACTATGAGATAAAATACAACAAATATATATGGCAAAACATCAATTGTAGTCCCTGTGTCAATTTCGTCACTTTTGCCACTCTGGTTCTCAATTCCAATCATTTCAAGAACACTTCTCAATTTTTGTCAAATTCTTCCTCTTTCGTTAGGGCTTGAGGAGTATTACCGTCAAATCTTGCCATCTTAGATACAAAAGACACTGCCTCTTATTTTTTAGGGAGTTTCACTAAAATACCCAAAATGGGGGCTGAAATTATAAAAATACCCAACACCCAAAACACTTATAAACATACCCAAAACTCATCATTACACACACTCAAAACCCATTTATAAACATACCCAAAACCCATCATTACACACATACCCAAAACCCATTTTGGGTATGTTTCTATGTATAAATAGTGCTTGGGTATTTTTATAAATACATGTCTAGGATTGGGTATTTTTATAAATATCTATATTTTTTATTCTAGGCGACTGGAAACCCTCTATCAATTGAACAAATTACAATGAGGAAATTAAAAAATTTCTCGAACCCTAAATCCCAATTTGGTTTGCAGTAGCCTAATTCAAATAAAGAAGAAGAGGCACCGTCTCTTGTACCTAAAATGGCAAGATTTTATAGTAATACCCTCAAGCTGTGATGGAAGTAGGAAGACTCTTACGGAAATTGAGAAGTGTCCTCGAATTTCTTTGAATTGAAAACCACAATCGCCAAAGTGACGAAAATGAAACCATAAGGCATAAGGACTACAAGTGGCATTTTGCCAATATATATATATATATTCTTTGTATTAAACAAGATAAGATATCACAAAATTTAAAATTGTTTCAATCTTTCAATACATAATTCTTTTGTCCTATTTTATATCGTTAGAGAGCTGAGCAATGGCCGAGACTGCAGTGATCATTGTCATTGACAAGTTGGTTTCATTGTTAACGGAAGAAGGGAATTTACTGAGAGGTATTCATGACGAGGTTACAAGCATAAAAGATCTTCTAGAGAGCATGGCGTCTTTCCTAAAGGATGCAGATGAAAAAGCAGAAAGGGCAAACAATAGTAGCGGCGTGAAAACTTGGGTGAAGCAAACAAGAGAAATGGCTAGTCATATAGAAGATGTCATTGATGAATACATACATCACGTAGCACGTGATCGTGATAAACACGGATTGAGTGGTTTTCTTCATAAAACGACTCACACTGTGGGAGGGCTATTTGCACGCCATGAGATATCCTTGAAGATTCAACTTATCAAAAAACGCGTTCGTGAAATTCTGAAAACAAGTGTAGCATATGGCTTTAATTCAACACAGAAAATTTCATTTAGCTCTTCAAGAAGAGACAACATGTTATTTGACCAACAAATGGCTTCCCTTTACACAGAGGAAGCTGAACTCGTTGGTATTCAAACTTTGAGAGATAAATTAATAGGTTGGTCGATAGGAGGAGAGGTAGCATCTAGACGCTCGGTTAGTTCACTGGTTGGAATGGGCGGTCTAGGAAAAACCACTCTTGCAAAGAAAGTCTTTGATAACTCAAGCTTCACAGAATGGTTCGATTGGCGTGCTTGGATCACAGTGTCACAATCATACAAGAACGAAGATATACTAAGAAACATGATCACAGAATTCCACCGGGCAAGGAATGAGTCTGTTCTAGAGGGAATTGAAACAATGGATTTGAGATTGTTGATTCACACCCTACGAGGATATCTTAAGGAAAAAAGGTATGCAGTTGTCTTTGATGACGTTTGGAGTACAAACTTGTGGGAGTGTGTAAAGCTTGCATTACCTGATAACAACAATGGCAGTAGGATAATTATCACAACACGCAAGGGTGAGATTGCTGCTTCTTGCAGAGAAGCTTTTCCTGATTAAGTGTACGACCTTGAGCCATTACCTCCAGATAAGGCCTGGGAACTCTTTTGCAAGAAGACATTCCGAGATTCGAGTGGATATTGTCCACCAGAGTTGAAGAAATTTACAACTACTATAGTGAGCAGATGTGGAGGATTGCCTCTTGCAATTGTGGCTATAAGTGGACTTTTATCTACCAGAGGTGGGGATGTGCCTCAATGGAGAAAATTGCATGATAGTCTTGGCTCTGAGCTGGAGTCTAATCCTCATTTAACAAATGTCACACAAATTCTTTCTTTTAGCTATCATGATTTACCTCATCAACTTAAACCTTGCTTCTTATACTTTGGGACATATCCAGAAAATTGCCCCATGAGATGTTCTACACTAATTCGGCAATGGATCGCTGAAGGGTTTATACAAGAGCAGAGAGGTAAAACATTGGAAGAGGTTGCGAAAGAATACTTGGCCGAACTTATTCAAAGAAGCCTAGTACAAGTGTCATATGTTGATGAAAGAGGGATGCATAGAGAATGTCAAGTCCATGATGTGATGCGTGAGGCCGTGATCCTTTTAAAGACTGGAGATATGAGCTTTTCACAATTTTTGGAAGAAGATTCAAGATTCAATGAAAATTCCAGGCACCTATCTGTTGATAGCAATGCATATAATGTTTTTGGTAGCATTAGAAGCTCTCGTGCCCATTCCTTGTGTTTTTTCAATGGCATAGGTGGGCCACAAAATCCTTTGACTAGTTGTCGAAATTTGTACAAAAGATTCAAGTTCTTAAGAGTACTAGACTTTGAAGATAGTGTGCTTGACAATCTCCCTGAGGAAATAGGATACATATACCACTTGAAGTATTTGAGCTTGAGGAATACAAGAGTGAAGATTCTTCCGAAATCCATGGGGAAGCTCGTGAACCTGGAGACTCTAGATTTGAAACAATCCCTAGTGCATGAGATACCAAATGCAATCAATAAGCTTCCAAAGCTTAGAAATATTTTAGCATACAATATGCACAACAACAAACAGCTGGGTCGAACTACAAGACGAGCTGTGGTAATTCATGAGGGGATCGAGCATTGGAGAAACCTGCAAAAACTGTATATTGTAGAGGCAACAGATAGCCTAGTTAAAGAAATAGGGAATTTGAAGCAGTTAAGAAGGTTGGGCATTCAAAAACTAGCTAGAAAACAAGGGAAAGATCTATGCGCCTCTATTGGAAAGATGTCTCACTTGCAATCATTGGAAGTTGTAGCCATAAATGGTGATGAAATTATTAATTTACAGTCTATCTCACCTCCACCTCAACGTCTTCAAACTCTAATTTTGATAGGGCGTCTAAAAAAGCTGCCTGATTGGATTGCAGGATCTAGTTTTTTAACTCGATTAGATTTATCTTGGTCGAGACTGGCAGGGGATCAGGATACCTTAAAAGTCCTACAAGGTCTACCAAATTTAGTGCGACTTTTGATCTATGAGGCGTTTAGTTGCGAGGAGCTGCATTTTGAAGAAGGATTTCCAAAACTGAAGGAGCTCAATCTTATAAAGTTGAACAGTTTACGGTTGATGAGAATTCACAATGGAGCATTGCCTCTTCTTGAAAGTTTGATAATTGGACCAAGTCCGCAACTGCAACAAGTGCCCTCCGGCATCCGTAACCTCAAAAATCTAAAAAATCTAGACTTCTTGGATATGCCTTCGCATTTCATAGATGGGATTCAAGTTCAAGAAACAGAGCACCGTGTAGGTCCCAGAGTAATTGTTATGAAGACGGAAGGTGAAAGAGTCATGACCACCAAAGTAATAGATTCTGCAGTTTTCATGTAGCACTCATAAGTGGATATATGGCTTTCCAGCAACAACATTTTCAAAGTACCTCCACTCATTTATTGTATGTTTGGTCGTCCTATGATGTTTGAGTTATTGCATGTGTATCTTACAATGTGGACTATATCTTGAAACAGAGCTCTTAAATTGATCGTCCATCTTCTTTGTTGAAAAAACCTCACTCTTTAAGAATAACTCTGTTGCATCAATATATTATAGTGAAGTTTTAAGGTTTTTATGTTTTAAGGTGTTGGTATGGATCGATTCGGTTCGGAAGAGACCTCAACCCGTTAAGTGTACCAAATGACAAAGAAGCAGATCAAAATTGAAACAACAAAGCTTTCACGTTGAAATGTTGATTAGGTCTGAATCCATGATCACATAAACATCAGAATAGATTGCTTAGCTGAAGAAGGTGTAACATTACACATGCATTTACAATTTTGACACAGTTTTATGCCTTACAAGTGAACTCTTTAAACATAAAGGGTACTAAATTGAACTTTCGTGCACATCTAAAGGACGTAAAATGAAATTAGAAACTTTTTCCTGGACAGTTGGTTCCTTGAGTTGGCCTGCGATTAATCAACGCTACATTGTTTTGCCCGCCCTTAAATAAGACGAAGTTATTTAAAGAGACAGTTTTTAATGAGAAATTATTAAAATTAAAAAATAAGCAGTGATGTTGTGCAACGTTTTAATTTAGTAGTGGTAGCTACTGGCTCTCTTCTGCTTATCATCTACTGCCTTCTCGAATGCTACATTGCATTTCCTGCCCTTAAATAAGCCAATAGATATGGTTGTCAACGAAGTCTAGTTTAGTAAAAAATGGCTTTGACTTGCAAACCAAGGGTCTTGAGTTCAAACTCCCATGTGACTTGTGTGTGTAACTTGAGTTCAAACTCTCCCTCATAGTTTAGACTATCGCTTGTGCCTTGTGCTCAAAGAAATTTTTTATTTTTTATAATTAGAAATTAAGCCAAAGATAAATTGTTTCTCCCGCCCCTAAATGCCTCATTGAGTTGGCCTGCGATTCAATGGTACATTGTTTTTCCCACCCTGAAATTAAGCCAGAGTTATTTAAAGATATGGTTTTTTAGTGAGAAATTATTAAAACTAAAAATAAACAATAAGAAAAGTTGTGATGTTGTGCAGCGTTTTAATTTAGTAGTGGTAGCTGTCCTCTGCTTATCATCATCTACTGCCTTCTCCAACGACCTCTTCCTCCTTCCTCTCTGTGACCAGGTATCTTTCTTCTCTTAAATTCTTAATTGCTGTCTACTTCTCTCTTTCCAGCTATATTCTTATTTCTTTGATTGTTGTCGATTTTTCTTAGCATTCTCAGACAAATATTATGTTCTATCTCTGATTTGCTCATCAGTTTTTTTATATTTTAAATTTCTTTGGTGGATTAGATTTTGCGTTTTTCTTGGAATAAGGCTTCAGCTCTAAGTAAACTGGTAACACCGTTCCCATCGGATAATTTAGTGATCAATTGACCATGCTTCTATCCAAGACAGTTTTCTGGCGTGCAAATCAAGATTTGGATCATAACTCATAAGAGAAAATACAGGAGGTATCTATATAACTATTTATTTTCTTGGTCCTGAACAAGATATCACAAAATATTGAATTAGTTCAACAATTATCCTCCAATACGAGTTATACAATATTTTGTGTCTTAATTTTTTCGTCATAGTGGACTAGTTGAGCAATGGCGGAGACTGCGGTGAACATTGTCATTGACAAGTTGGTTCCATTGTTAAGGGAAGAAGGGAATTTGTTGAGAGGTATCCATAAAGAGGTTACAAGTATAAAAGATCTACTTGAGAGCATGATGTCTTTCCTTAAGGATGCAGATGCGCAGGCAAAAAGGGCAAACATGAGTAGCGGTGTGAAAACTTGGGTGAAGCAAATAAGGGAGATGGCTAGTCACATAGAAGATGTCATTGATGAATACTTGCATCGCATTGCACGTCGTCGTAACAAACATGGGTTTAGTGGTTTCTTTCATAAAACAACTCACACTGTGAGAGGGTTATTTGTGCGCCATGAGATAGCCTCAAAGATTCAACTTATCAAAAAACGTGTCATCAAAATTCAAGAAACAAGTGTAGAATATGGCTTCAATTCAATAGAGCGCATTTCATTTAGCTCTTCCAGGAGAGAAGATATGTTATTTGACCCTCGAATGGCTTCACTTTACACAAAGGAAGCTGAACTCGTTTGTATTCAAACTTTGAGAGATAAATTGATAGGTTGGTTGATAGGAGGAGAGGTAACATCTAGACGCTCAATCAGTTCACTGGTTGGAATGGGTGGTCTGGGAAAGACTACTCTAGCAAAGAAAGTCTTTGACAACCCAAGGTTTACAGAATGGTTTGATTGGCGTGCTTGGATCACAGTGCCACAGTCGTACAAGAACGAAGACCTACTCAGAAACATGATTGCAGAATTCCACAGAACAAGGAAGGAATCTATTCCAGAGGGAATTGAAACAATGGATTTGAAATTGTTGAGTGACACTCTTTGAGAATATCTTAAGGAAAAAAGATATGCAGTTGTCTTTGATGATGTGTGGAGCACAAACTTGTGGGAGTGTGTAAAGCTTGCATTACCAGATAACAAGAATGGCAGCAGGATAATAATCACAACATGCAAGGGTGATGTTGCTGCTTCTTGCAAAGAAGCTTTTTCTGATTAAGTGTATGAACTTGAACCATTTTCTTCAAATGAGGCATGGGAACTCTTCTGCAAGAAGACATTTCGAGATGCCGATGGAAATTGTCTACCAGAGTTAAAGTAATTTGCTACTACGATAATTAAAAAAATGTGTAGGACTGCCTCTTGCAATTGTTGCTATAAGTGGGCTCCTATCAACCAAATGTGGCGATGTGTCTCAATGGAGAAGATTGTATGATAGGTTTGGTTTAGAGCTGGAGTATAATCCTCATTTGACATATGTTACAAAAATTCTTTCTTTTAGCTATGATGATTTACCTTACGAGCTTAAACATTGCTTCTTAATTATACTTCGGAACATATCTAGAAAATCGCACCATTATATGTTCTACGCTAATTAGGAAATGGATCGCTGAAGAGTTTATAAAAGAGCAGAGAGGTAAAACATTAGAAGATGTTGCGGAAGAATACTTGACTGAGCTTATCTAAAGAAGCCTAGTTCAAGTGTCATAGTTGATAACAAAGGGGTGCGCAAAAAGTGTCAAGTCCATGATGTAATGAGGGAGGCCGTGATCCTTTTAAAGGCTGAAGATTTAAGGTTTTCTGAAGTTTTGGAGGAAGATTCAAGATTCAATGAAAATTGCATACATCTATCTGTTTATAGCAATGCATATAATGTTTTTGGAAGCATTGAAAAGTCTCGTGCCCATTCCTTGTGCTCTTTCAATGGCATAGGTGGGCCACAAAATCCTTTTACTAGCTGTTTTAAATTGTACAAAAGATTCAAGCTGTTGAGAGTACTAAGCTTTAAAGATAGACTACAATATTCTTGAGGAAGTTGGATACATATACCACTTGAAGTATTTGAGCTTGAGGAATACAAGAGTGAAAATTCTTCCAAAATCCATTGGGAAGCTCGTGAATCTTGAGACTCTAGGATTTGAAGCAATCCCTAGTGCATGAGATACCAAATGAAGTCAATAAGCTTTCAAAGCTTGGAAATCTTTTAGTATACAACCCAAACAGGAACAAAAATTCAAGAGGTATTCCAGTTAAACAACAAGCTGTGGTGATTCACGAGGGGATCGATTGTTGGGGAAACCTGCAAAAGCTGTATGTTATGGAGGCAACAGATAGCCTAGTTAAACAAGTTGGGAATTTGAGGCAGTTAAGAAGGTGTTTGGGCCCAAATTTAGCACGCCGAAAACAAAAGCCCACACCATCTCCTAGGCCGCTTGTATCAGACGACCTCAAGCCCATCAGCACGACCCAGCCCATTAAACGAGTGGACAGGCCAAGAACACGGCCCAAAACATTAAAAGGCTTGGGAACAATAGGAATCAGAAAAAAACTTGGGCCTCGAAGAAATCCAAAATTAGGCTCAAAAGCAAACTAGACTCAAGCTGGCCTTCAAAACGGAACAGTCCCACGTGATCCCTGACTTGGAGGAGTCAATAATTTCGGCTGAAAACTGAAAATAGAACAGGAGCAGGTATAAAAGAACAAAAAATCTAAAGTAGCTTGTTGCCAGAAGATTAGAACCCGCTTAGTTTATCTAAAAGATATTCTGATATTTTGGAGGAATGCCATTTTCGAGGATAAGCAGACTCTGTTTTTATAAAAAGAGAGATAAGCGGGAAACAGGAAGCTGTCCAAAAGCTGAGAGCCAGCCATCTCCAAAACTCCAGACCTTTTGCAGAAGCAGGTGGAATGGAAGAACAGGCATGGCACTCCATCAAAAATACAGAAGTGGTCACCTCAGGAACTAATCGTTGAGTGCTTACTCGCCAGAAAATGGATAGAACCCCTGTTTATTTCATTTTAAAATTAAAAAGA